TACCCCAGCCCGTCTGGCCCGGCTGGGGCACAGCTCTGAGGAGGGAGGCAGGAGCCACCCGCCCCGGAGGACTTCTCTGTACCGAGTTTGCCGCCGCCGCCGCCGCCACCACCACTACCGCTGGGGAGGAAAGCAACAGAAGAAGGAGAGACAGGTACAGTTGCCATGATACGGCCGTCGTGGTAATTTAGCCTCAGAGCTCTGGTTCCCGTGGAATAATTTAACAATCTGTCATGGGAAGGAAGGAAGGAGGACAAGTGTCCTGTGGCTCGATGTCCCCACCTCCAAAAAATAATCTAAGTTCCCGGAGCCAGAGGAGGGCCCTGGTGTGGGAGAAGGTGGGCTGAGAACATTTTCTACCCAGAGCCGGGTGGGAGTGCTCGACTTATCTGCTTTTGTGGGAGGGAAACAAGTGAATGAGAAAAACTGCAGGGCCCTCTACTCCAAACCGCAGCTTCCTCCGGCCGCTGGGTCCGATCCCTTTGCACCCGGAGCCTGCAGGATCTTTCCTTCAAATGACAACTCCTACAGCGGGCCGTTGATGGACTCTTCCCTCCCTTTCCTGGGCCCTGTGTGGGCAAAAATGAGACTGGGCCGGGACAGAAGATAAAACACTGCATCCTCTGCTGGAGGTATGAAAGGAGTCACTGTCCTGGACCTCAGGACCCTAGGACCCTGGAGAAATCCTTCCCTTTGGAGAACCAGGTGCTGCTTCTGTGCCCCGCCCATCCTTGGGAATAAATGGAGAAGGGGACGTCTCAGCTATGCTGGGAACAGGGCACAGCCTGCAGCACACAAGGGGACAAGCCTGGCGCACGGGTCCACACCATGGTGGCTCTGTGAAGCTGTTGTCCTCCTACCCAAGCTTCCGCCCAGAACCCTCCAGGCCCCACCCTGGCTGGCACCAAGCCCTGTGGCCTCTTGGATCCACATCTTGGATCCGTCAGGAAGCCTCTTCTCCTGTCTCCTTGGCTAGGAGGAGGAGGAGCCGGGGCAGGGCCATTACACAGGGATTCCTCAGTGCTGGGCCTCGTGCCTGGGGTGAGGAGAAAGAAATCCCTGCTGCCTGTACACCAGAGACTGGACCACCTAGGAAGCCTGGTGCGCTGTGTTCCTACCACACTGCTTTACACCTAGGACGCTCCTCCAAAGTCCTGCATTTGGAGGGTGGTTGGACTATGGGAGTCTGTCATCCTCGGTGGACTCATCCATTGAGGACTTCATGGCTGAAAGTGCCGTGGGCAGGTGAGGCCTGGCTGGTGGCAGCCACTGGTTGTGGGACCTGCAAGGGTGTCTTGTCCCTGGCTCCTCCCCTTCCTCTGCTTCCTGGCCTCCATGATGTGAGCAGCTTTCCTCCGCCAGACCCTTCCCCCATGCCGTTTCTGTCTTGCAGCCAGCTGACCATGGACTGAACTGCTGGAAATTGTGAGCTAAATGAACCTCCCCTTTTTTAAGGTGTTGGGAATTCTGTTGCAATAAAACATAAGAGTGACTAATACACACCACTTGTCCAGCTAAAACCAGGCTCTGGGCTCTGTGACCGGAGCAAGCCACTGCGTCTGTGTGAGAGGTCTGGGTGGCCCGGTCACTGTACAGGTGCAAGGACAGGCCCTGCACACAGGTGCTGCCCTGACGCATACCAGTCCTGTGCTCTAGCAAAACTCTTCCTCCCCAGAGGCAAAGAGCAGCAGGTTTTCTTTTAAGGGAGTTCCAGGCTTCTATCAAAAGTCTTAAGACAGAGACGGTAAAGCCTGCTCAGCAGGGACTGGAGTGAGGAGGCCAAGGGGAGGGCGGGAGTGACAGCCAGGGGAGGGGTTGCGCAGGGCTCCACACAGCAGCCTGGGCTACCTGCTCTGCCCCCCGCCCTGCCGGCCCCCGCCATCTCAGTGAGCCAGTTGTGACGCCAGGCAATGCAGCTTCCCGGATGTAACCCTCAGGTGAGTCCAGGGTTGCCAGTTCAAGACCAACGCTGGGCCTGAGGCCCCTGGAGGGAGCCAGGTGTGAAAGGAGGGGGAAAGAGAGAGAGAGAGAGAGAGAGAGAGATGTGAAGAGCAGAAAATGCACAAGGTAAAGTAATCTGGCCCAGAGATTTCCAGATTTCCAGGAGGCCCGTGACTGTTGGAGAGGCACCGCAGCGGCTGGACGCGGCTGGCGGGCTGTGGGGCATGACGACAGTGCAGCAGAGGAACACAGGAGGGGCGTGTCCAGCGCAGACAGGGTCCCAGATGGTGAGCTGCCCTTGGGCCAGGATGGCTCTGGGCTCCACTAGCTGAGTTCCAGTGAGGAGCCAGGAAATAAGAGCCGAGCAGCTACTACAAGGGAAACGATCTCTCTGAGTCCATCCGGCGGATTCTACCATGGCTGTGCCACTGGCCAGTGTTCAAAGCCACAGCCAGAGCTGGGCGTGGTGATGGCAGAACTGTAATCCCAGTACTCCGGAGGCTGAGGCAGGAGGATAACAAGTTGGAGCCCACCAAGGATGACATTAACTTAGCAAGACCTTGTCTCAAAATTAAAAAAAAAAAAAAAAAAAAAAAAAAAAAAGGCCGGGATTGTAGCTCAGGATAAGGCGTGGAGTCAACCTCCAGTGTTGTAAAACAAAGAGAAACAAAAGCCATAGCTGGGCTTTGCCACCTAACTTCCATGACTCTCACAACAGAAGGTAGGCACTGCCGACTGATTCCCATTTTGCAAACGCAGAAACTGAGGCACAGAGGCACAAATTTGCCCAGACTCAAAGCTGCATGGTGGCAGAGCCCATGTGACCAAGCACAAGCACCTTCACACCCAGCGTCTCTCGATGGGGCACACGGTGCTTCTCCTCCTGTCTCACAGATGGGGGACCCGGGTGTGCAGGGGAGGGGACAGGGTCGTGGCCATGGGACCCACACAGGCTGAGCCGGACGTGAACCCGTCTGTCTGGTTTCTGAATCTGTGTCTTTCTCACGATGCCGTCTCGGTGTCACCAGCTCAATGTGGGACCCAGACACTTGTTACCAGCCCCCAGACCCAGCTGAACCCTGGGCTCATGTGTTCAGTGCTCCCCAAAGAGCCACTTTTATGGAATCTGTCCCTCCTTTCCCTTCTGCTGGGGAAAACAACTGGAAGTCGACTCTACTCACCTCATAGCACGAAAGAGAGAGGGCAAAAACAGGGACCCCCAGGCTCCTCCCAGGACACACCTCGGTGACAGGTGACTGGAATCTCCCACTGCACCCACCTAGGCCCCACCGCCTCCTGACAGCCTCACAGCCTGGGGAACGAGCCTTCCATGCGTTGGCCTTCAGGGGAGCTGTAGACCTGAACACAGCACTCGTTTTTGTTGAGCACCTACTATGTGCCAGGCATAATGCTAGGGCCAGGATGGTGAACATGGCTGGAACTTGCCATCTAATTCTTTTACACTTTTAATTATGGTAGAAATGCACCTGTTTTATAAGGCGTGCATCTTGTGAGGGAAAACGGACAGAGGTAAGCTTTAAAAGCTCACGGCCAGTGGGCTAGCAACTCTGAAACACACAGACAACGCGAGCAGGGTCCGCCCTGCTGGAGATGAAAGGACAACCGTGGAAAGGAGGGTACAATGGAGCCCATGACATCAGCCTGGACCGGAGCTGCCTCTGGTTCCTCCACCAATGTGAGCTCAGGGTTTTAACACAGATAGAGACAGAGATATAGGGCCGGGGAATTAGCTCAGGGCCACGGAACCTGCCTTGTAAGCTCAAGGCCCCAAATTTGAACCCTGGTACTGCCAAAAAAAAAAAGTGTGTATACATTTCTACTTCCCCCTGGCGCTGTCTGCCAAGGGAGCTGGATTCTCACATTCTCACTACGCACTTTTACAATGGGGGTTGAACCCAAGGCCTCTGCTCTGGGCTACCTCCACAACCGCTTCGTGGTCTTTAACTTGAGACAGGGTCAGGCTAAGTGACCGAGGTGGGCTGGAACCCGTGGTCTTCCTGCCTCAGCCTCCCAAAGTGCTCAGATCACAGGTGTACACGGCCATGCCTGGCTACTCAGGGCCAAATCTTCCCCGGCCTCCACCTCCACTCCCCGGGACTCCTGGCAATGTCTGGAGACATTTCTGGGTCTCACAATTGGGTACGGGGTGCCCTGCCATGAAGCGGGCAGAGGTCGGGAACGAGGCTCCCTGCTCCGCACACGAAGGAGGGGCCCCACCTGGTCACTCAGCCCACGATGCCAAGGCTCAGGAGCTGTTCTGAGCACCGTCAGCCTCGCATCTGGAGCTTTCCGAGTCCCAAAAGCCACTGCAACAGCCTAGGCCCTGGAGAACGAGCTGATGCTGGGGCTGGAGCTGAGAAGGCAAGAGGAGTTGGAGTATCCGTCCGCACTAATCTTAAAGAAGTGCTTAAAAATAGTAACCACGGTGCCCGGGGAAGGAGACAGCCCGCACTTCCCACCAGCCGGACGGGGAGAATTTCAGTAACGAAGCGAATGGTGACAATGATGGTTTCTGCCTTGTTAGATAAAACCCTGAGTCCACACTCCACAATAAAATAAGTACTCTGTGCACAGCAGGGAGAAAAGCCCCACCCAGGAGCAGAACACCAAGCAGGAGGTGTAGGGGGATGACGGAGGAGTCACAACATCACCATGTGGCAGACAACACAGGGGTAAATAGGCCACGCAAGACTCGGC